TAACAATGTTACTATGTCATTATGAACTATAAAAATTTAAATATCAACATTGTGAAAATTTCTAAATGAATAATCTTGGTAATATGTTAAGTAAGAGACTGAGTAAAAAAGCTTTCACGACAAACAGACAAGTAGTCAAAATAAAGTTATAAAATAAAGGAAAACTTTTAGGCAGACAGGATCTAATACCTTAGTAGGTGTATTATAACAGATTTGAGTATAACAGTTGTGTCTATGGAACTGTCATACGGAAAAAAAACTAGATTGCCTAAAAAAAGCGTGTGTCGTCTAGTATCTTAGTGATTAAAGCAATAAGTTGTGTATCAGCCTATTTGTAAAAAATTTATGATACGTTTTTAGAAAACTTAGAAGCTAATTATTTTAATGATCAATTTTAAGTAACTTAACACTTTTTTAATGATTTTATCCTCCTATTTACCAAAAATATTAAAGTTGATGTCAAAAGCTTTGTTTTCCTTTGCTCTTCCATCACTATGTATCACATTTTAAAGTCTTTTAGAATTCCCCTATGACCAAACAATTTAGTGTACTTTTAACGTTTTTTATTTTCCTAGGGCTCAAAGTAAAAACATAAGCACTTAAATAGTGTAGTTGTGATATGTTTGTATTGTTGTTCCGTATTTTTTTTATTTTCTTATCAGGGGTAAAAAGTACAATTTTGCCTCGATGGGCAATATTTGGGCACACTTTGCACCTAGAAAATTACTTTAGTTTCTAGGACAAAGATGTACTTTAGGCCTGAAGAGTGCCAAGTGGCAATAAACTTTGTGCTTATTGTGGAAAATTACATAATACGCAACAAAGGAACAAAGTACCAATATGATTACCTAAAGGATGCAGTTATCATACGTTTGCGTGCAAGGCTTAAACAACATTTGTCTTTTAAATGGACATAAAGCTTTACTTTGTGTCCGTAAGCACACGTTTGCTCCCTAATTATCTTGCACTGTAGGGTAAAAAAGAACTTTACGCTCAGAGGATTAAAAAGTATTTCCTTGCACGTAAGCATAAAGTTATTTAAAAACGTTAAGTATGACTCAGGTAACCTTCTGTTTTGCAGGTGTAATGATTACCCTAGCTTGCCTTCATTAAAACATGAGGTTGTTCAGCGTAGCTTTTTTTTGCAATAAATATTTTAATTTAGCTCTCTAAGACTAAACCTAAAGCTTACAGGCACTTTTTAGCATCCCCTAGTGCCCTTCTAATTTCTAAGTAGCCACTGCTACCTACTCTGCTGTTGGTTTTTTCTGTTTCGTTAATCAAACATCGGGCCTTTTACTTGCATTCTTGTCAACGTTAATTGTAGCTGTGACATTAAAAATATTGCCTTATTGTAATTTTAAGCAATGTGCTCATACTCCAGACACCTATAGTATCTGAGAACTTGGATGCGTCTTCTCATTCAGCAGCTAGAGAAGCCAACAAGTCAGTTATTTATTTCTTATATCTTCTGGACATCAATCTTTCTAGTATTCACTAGATCTTTTTTTTGCCTTCTCTTGTTTGTTTTTAATAGTGGCACTGTTTTTTTCAAAAATAAGCACCTGGAAATTTTTCTTAGTGTGAGCTTTACCTTCTAATTTTTTTTAATTTAATCAAAAGTTATTTTGTAATTGACCTTTTTCTCGCTAATAATTTCTAATCATAACTTTTTTTTGGTCCTTGACAGATTTGTAACTAAAGAATTTCAATCATCGATTTCTCTTACCTTAATAAGAGAATTTATCTATCTAGTTGTAGTAGCTTCTTTTACATTAGTTTTCACCTTTTTGGCTTGTTGTCTGATCTTATCTCTTTAAGGACTCAAGCAAAAGTCTATCCTTACAGGACCTTAATAAAAATTTATATCTTTTTTTCTGTCCTGATTTTATATTTCTGTTTCTCTGCCAACAACTCTTATCTTAGGGAGAAGATTCTGGTCTCTTCTGATCTTTTCTTGTTTTTAGGGTGTAGGTCAGAAAGTTTCCTTGAATTTTTAGGGTTTCTGTTTCACTTTTATGTCAGGATACTTTTGAGAAACTCACAATAAGTTGAGCATGATATTTTCTATCTTATGTGATCTGTGTGTCTTCCTCGTAAGATTGTTACCAGTTTGTTTGCGAAGGTATTTTGTCTTTTTTTTACGCCTAATAGCTGCTTTGAATAAATTATAAGTTGACTGTTAATTATATTATGTAATAAGCAGTAAATTTCTTATTCAACAGGAAAAACTATGTAGTGTTGTTGTACTATTGTAGATATAGCTGCTGGGCACCCAATCAGTTACTGTAGGTGGTATGTGCATTGAACCATAAGTCCCATAAACGCGCAATGCCACATGCACCGAGGTGATAGAGTGCCGAAAAAGAATCAAAAGTCTTAAACAATTAGGACGAGGAAAAAGGAAGCAATAAACTAGTGAAGACTTTCCCTATCAAACATAGCAGCAGCTCCTAGAGTCTTTTACTAAGGGCAATGAGTGTAAGTGTTTCATTTCTTTCATGATTGAACAAATTGGTATCTATGGACAAGCTACGCAATAATGATAAAAAACGTTTAATTTTCTCGCAGTTTTTTTTTTCAATCGTTGCCAAAACCAGTAAAACCTATTGTACATGTTTAATTATATTTTTAGAAAACTGCTTGCCCTTCATCTTGCGTACTCACTCTTGTGCAAGGGTTGTGTTGAGGTCATATATAAGTCTGTAATTTTTTTATACAAAATTTTCAGCACAGTTTAAAGCAGAATGGTGGAAAGTATTGAAAAATTTTTGGTGATTCGAATCAGTCAAGTCGATGACTAAGTGATTGAGTTGTTCCTTGTTTTATTAATACTATTATTTTTTGTTTTCTCCTTACACTAGTATATTAAGTGTAAATTTTATTTTTAAAATATTTCTAGTAATGTGTTGCACAATAGTACGGTCGTCGTGCAGTTATTTTGTTTTTTTTTAGTTTGTTGAGCTAACTGCAGGCAAATAAAAGACAAAAAGTATTTACTTAGTTTTGCATTTGAGGTATCAACATTATTCCACGTATGTCAATATTTTTGAATTAATGATTTAGTTTATCACAGTACAAAAAATAGTCTTACTTTGTTACTGAGAAATATTCAATGCATTAATTTAAAAAAAAACCTACTGATTCAAGTTGCTTATTCTCGTTAGCTTATAAAAGATCAATAATTTGTCAGTCTGGATGATCTCTATCACAATTTGATTTTTTTTTACTTTTTCCTTATTACCTTTAATAATTTATGGTTTTGAGTAAACGAATAATCACTTATTACCTACTATTTTATAACCCACATCATTAATATTTGTGATTTTAAATCTATATATGACCTTAACTTATCCAACTTCCCGTGTTTTTCTCCACAACCAGCTCACAAAAAATATAACCTTTTTACATGTAAGTGATTTTAACCACTTTTATACCGTTTTTTATACGCTGTTCCCGTGAGCTGTATTTTAACCACTCCCACCACATTGAGTCGTCCTCTTAAGTTTGATGAAATTGGAGCTTTCCGTTAATACTTAAGAACAATTTTTGTATTGTTCGACGTATATAATTTAAGTTACACTTGGTGTTATTGCTCAAGAAGTTGACAGCTATGACATTACTTGCTCTACTTCCAATGTTTAACAGCTTATCGTGTCGATGACTAGACGACAATGTAAAGCCCATCAAAGACTTTTGTTTGTCCAAATTTTTTTTTAATAGCCTTCTGATTATAGTTAAACTACAGGTAGGCTATTTTACTCCCACCTTCGTGTAACTGCATAGTAATAATGCGTTTGTTTCTGCTGGCACATCTGCTAATGAAAAAGTTCTTAAGGCCCTAGAATTTCAAATGTCTATGAATAAGTCTTTTGCATAGTGGGTCTTTATTACCTGTTGTGTCTTATAATTGCCAGTAAAACACTGCACGCTTTTTTTTGATAAAAAAAATAGCATAACTACAAACAAGTGCAGTAGCTTTTGTGCTCAAGCAAGTCAGGCGTTACGACTCTCTCTTCGTCGTATCATAGAAGACTACCCAGGCATTATGTAAATCCGTATTGGTAGAAGATTTTTGTACAGAGCATGGTTAGGACAGTTCATGAGAAGTACCTACAGGGAATGCTGTCAAATAAGTACACCCACACTTAATCTGCAAGTCCATCATGAAGCCTTTTTCAGTGGCAATAATTGGTCGGTGTTTATTCCACCCAATTGTCTTCTCATTTATTAAGCAGCTACGTTAGATGCCCTTACCTAACACGACTCAGGCTTTATCGTTCAGTTTTTACGCTGGGCCAAAGCTCTCACGCTTCGAAGGAACAATGCAAGTGGTGAAGTACATAGAGTAGCCCGTCAGCAAAGCTTTGTTAGTGCTGAGTACGTCAATGAAGATAATGTTGTTATCATCGATCACCTATATATATAAAATAATATAAAGATTCCTGTTTCTTCAAGTCCTCTTACTCAATCAGAGCGGCAAACAATAAAATCTCTGAGAATGTTTTCAATGCCATAAAAGGAGTTAATTTCTCTCATTATTATGTCTGCAGTCATAATTAGGATCAGTGGTATTATTTTATTTAGTATAAGTACTTTTACCAATTCTGTCTTTATTTCTGTCGTAATTAACATGAGTTTTTTTTCATTTCAATCACTAGGTTTATTGTTACTGTTACACTTACAATAATTCTTGTTACTAGGATTGTTAAGATTACTCAAATTTGTATTGTTTTTTTAGCTATCATCAAAATCACTATTATAACCTTAGTTATGATTTGTATCTTTTTTATGACAATTATAGCAATTATTCTTATTTTTTTTTTTTTTTTCAATGTTGAAACTCACGTTTCGTTGATTGCTAATGTGTTCGTGCTTGAATAACTTTGTGAAACAACAACAATGAATCTGGTTGTACAAGTAATTATTTGACATATAAATTTAAGCTGAGGTTCTGTTGCACCATTTATAAGTCAACACAAAAACAACATTTCACAAACCTGACAACGTCCACCACCTCCTTTTTCTTGCCACCACTTATTTTTTAAGGCCGTAAGAACTCCCATTTCTTGCAGCTTGAGGACAGCACCACTAAGCTCATTTCTGTATGATGCATCTGTAAAAAAAGCTTCATTTTAGTGATGTAATACTAATGCATGATATTGTGGTTTTTTATTGTCTTAAGAACAGTATTGTAACAAATGGCATGCCCTTTGGGTTTCTTGTTTATATGAAATATTTAAAAAAGTTTTGTAAATTGTTGTTATTGAATTACAAGCTAAAAATATCAGAGATAGAAAGTATTATAATTTTTCCAAGAACAAATGCTCACTATACGCTTTGTTAAATTGCAACAAATAATGATTACTTTATTGTTTCCTTTTGATTTTAGCCTTATACTGCAGAATATTGTTTTATTAAGTTCTTGTAATCATAAAAATTTTCTTATTAACAGGCACCGAGTCAGTCAACACTATCTACTGTGTCGTATAAGGTTGATAGGAATTTTAAGCAGAGTTTTATCGCTTTAGTTAATATTTCAACGTAATTTAATTTAATGTTATAAGAAGATTTCTAAGTGGTACTAATAGTTATAGACATACGGTTAAAGACATTTTTGTAGAGGTCTTTAGAGAGTTTTGTAGTAAATTAAAATATATTAATACCTATAGAACCAGTAAACAGTTGGGGCTTGTTTACCCAAGTATAAATTAATTCTTTTATTAAATTGTATGGCAAACAATACAATTTCAGGTATAACAATGCCATCTATGAAACAATATTGTGTACGAAGGTGGTGCAATAATAGTGAAAATGAGTAGACCTACGTTGATTGGGTGTGATTTCAACTAATACGTCATGAGTTTATGATTATAAGCAATTTGTTACGGCACAAATTAAATTTTTAATAAATTTAGAAAGAGCGGATAAGATGTCTGTGAAAGAATGTGTATGAGTACATCTACACAAGAAAAGGAATTGCTAGCTTTACTCTACACATTAGCGTTCCTGTCATTTCTCTGAACTTTCTCCCCCAAAGTGTGTGAAGAACGTCCTTAAATCAAAAAACCCCTTGAATCACGTATAAAAAATTTTTAAAAGAATAAAATACAACAAAAATTAGTTATTGTATTTGTACAGTACAAACAAACTTTTTATTATTTTTTTAAATTTAGAAAAAATATCAAAAAATTATAGAAGGAATTATGTATTTATTGTAAAAATAAAAAATTAAATACGTTGGACTAAATATTTATTAATGAATTGGAAGGGTGCTTTGCTAAAGATTAGTAATTGCCTAATTTTTTAAAAAAACATTAAGAAAAAAATGTTTTATTTTACAAGATAAGTTGTTTATTTATTTAATTTATACATAAACCAAATAAATTAATGTACATTTTATAAAAAACGTCTGTGGAAAATAAGTAACTAACTGTACGATTAGATAAAGAAATTGATTTTCCTCTGTTTTGCCTGCTCATGGTAGAGTAGGTAAGGGCCATGACTATAAAGAAAGTAAGAGGTCGGGGGTTAAAATCTCTTTAAAAACTGTTTTCTAAATTAACGAGAAGACAAATTTACACTTTAAAGATTTACCCGCGCGCATAACGCGCCTATAGAAGTATAATTTAAAAAAGTGCCTGCTCAAATTTTAAGCAATAAGGTTGTCTACACAAAATTTGACTGTATGAACACTTGATGTGATTAGTCGAAAACAGCATCAGAAATAACAGTTATACTAATCGTTGTTCTGCTTTAAAAATCTTTATTATGTGACTTAGCGCTGATTACAGAGTTGCAGACAATTATATCACTTCAGTCAATGTGATCTTCCTCAGCTCTTTCTTCCTTGGGTCCTTGATCGTCAGTGTGTTAGCCCGCGCGCGGCTCGGCAGCTCCGCAGGAGCAGTACGCGCGCAGAACGTTGGAGAGCGCGCTTGCCGTCATCTTGTTGGACGTTGATCGCGGGAAACGAGCCGAAAAATCCGCCCACATTGATCCTGGAGCGACATACTAGTTGCCGCCCGCCAAGGCGGGTTGGCCTTCTTGACCATAAGGTGGTGGCGTTGGTGGACTGGGGTTCACTACGGAGAGCAGGGCCAGTTTGATAATCGGCCGCACGTACTCGCCAGTCGCTGTTTTCATGGTGACCGCACGCACCAATCCATCAGGACCAGGCTGAATGCGAATAATGCGACCTAGCGGCCAACGACCGCTCGATTGAAGGAGGGTAGCGTCCAGTAGGATGACGAAGTCACCGACGGCAGAACTTTGGCGAGCAACGGTCCACTTCGGCCTCTGCTGGAGTGTATTAAGGTACTCTCGGCTCCAGCATGACCAGAACTGAGCCTGAATGGCTCTTACGAGGTCCCAATGCTAGAGAGCGTCCAATTTTTCAGTGAAAGGCCTAGGCTGGATGATGGAATCAAGTGGGGCTCAAACAAAGAAGTGGCCTGGTGTAAGTACCTCGAGGTCGAAGGGGTCGCCGGAAAGCGGTGTCAAGGGCCTTCCGTTGAGCACCATCTCAATCCCAGCTAGTACGGTGGAGGATTCCTCGTAGGTCAGGTGACGGGAGTCCATTACGCGTCAGAGGTAGCCTTTGACTGACTTGACGGCGGCTTCCCAGAGTCCGCCGAAATGTGGAGCTCCAGGGGGGATGAAGTGCCAAGCAATACCTTGCGAAGTAAGAGAGCCGGTAACGAGGTCCCATTCGATCTCCGCAATTTGTAACGCCTCGCGCAGCTCTAGATCAGCGCAGCGAAAGCAAGTGGCATTGTCGCTCCAGAGTTCAGAGGGTCGAGCGCGACGACCGGTGAACCTAGCGAGAGCGCCCAGACAGGCGGCTGTGGAGAGATCACCGACAAGCTCGAGGTGTAGGGCCTTTATCGTCATGCACACGAAGACGGCGATGTAACCCTTCGTAGTGCGTATGCCTCGTCCTTTTGACGCAAGTACTGAAAAAGGCCACGCGTAGTTGACACCCATGCGGCCAAAAGCGCGGGAAGGTGTGATTCATGAAGCTGGTAAGGGGGCCATCATCTGGGTCGCAGAGCAAGCCTGAAGTCGGGAGCATACGACGCACCGCCGCAATTGAGCCTTGATTCTGCGTGGGCCACCGAGAATCCATGCACGCTTGGCCGCGTAGGCGCTAGTGACCCTGTATCCACCGTGAAGAGCTCGAGTATGGGCCCAAGAAAAGACCAGCGAGGCGAGCGATGAGGCTCCGCTAAGGATCGGTGGATGCCACTATTCGTAAGGTAGCGAGGAGAAACCCAGCCGCCCGCCGACGCGCAGAACGCCGTTGGTGTCGAGGAAAGCTGCAAGAGAAGTCAAAGGATTCCCTTTTGGCAATCGCTCGCCGTTTTGCAAACGCGCCCGCTCTTCGCCAAACGATTCCGATTGGTTCAATCGGACGCAGGCCAGGAAGGCATCTTAAAGCTCGGCAGGGGTCAGTGGTGAGAGCATCGGCAGGACAGGTGGGTGACGCAACTAGCGCCGGACCCACCGACGAGTGCGCACGAGAACGACGAGTAGAGTGTGAAGCTTGGAATATCGTTCAAGTAAGCTTGGCTCAGCCAGACGGGTGGCATAGCAGGCCAATGGCAGAGGTGTCACCTCTTGAAGTGATTCCTGGGGCCAGGCTTGGTCGTTGTCGGTGAGCCACGGCGGATCGTCCCACCACAGGAGTTGTTGTCTGGGACTGGACATGTCCGATCTTCGAGTGACCACGTCGGCTGAATTGGACTGCGACGGTACGTACTGCCAGACGCTCGAGGGTAGCGTGTCCTGTATCTGGGCCACGAAGTTGTCAACGTGGGCGTTGTTGGTTGGCTGATCGGAGCGAACCCAGTGCAGCACAATTTGCGAGTTGCACCAGGCGTGACAGCGCTCAATCGGAACTGCTAGTTCTTTGGCCGTCGAGCGCAGAAGCTTAGCAGCCAGCAGGGCGGCACAGAGCTTTAAGCGAGGAATGGTCATCCGTGCCACAGGCTCGGCCATTGGCTTAAGAGTGCGGATGGGCGCCAGCTTTGTGCGAGCAAGGAGGATGTGGTAGCGGACAAAACCGTCTGCAGCCTGGAGTCTAGAGTACAGGACAGCAGTCATCGCGTGGCGGCTGGCATCAGAAAATACGTGCAGGTGAATGTCCACTGACGCGACCGTTCCGATCCAACGAGGCAGGGATGGATCGGAGATGGCTTGGAGCTTGGCGGCTAAGGCAGTCCACCTTTGAATCATGGACGACGGAGCAGACTCGTCCCAGTCCAGGTTGGCTTGCCATAAGTCTTGCAGCAGGAGTATGGCGTTCAGCACGATCGGCGCAAGCTAACCGCATGAATCAAACAGGTCCGCGAGCGCTGCGAGCATGGTCCTCTTAGTGGTTTGGTGCTGTATGAGGAGAGGTGTTAGCAGGAAGCCATCTGACGGTGGGTCCCAGCTCACACCGAGCTCACTAACGAGACCTTCAGCGCCAAGCTGACACCAAGTGGGCCGCAGGCACACGTCGTCAGGGAGGTCGTCCAGCAGCTTGGGCACATTGGCTACCCACTCGCGCAGAGGAAATTCGCCGGTTTGCAGAAATTCGATTAGCTGGTCACGAAAATGTCGAGCCGTGGCGATGTCGTCAGCACTGGAGAGTATGTCGTCGACGTAGCGGTCATTCATCACCACGGAAACTGCCTCGGGCCAACGATGTCCTTCGTCTTCGCACAGCTGCTGCACAGTGCGCAAGGAGAGGTACGGTGAGCACAAAGCGCCGTAGGTGACTGTTAACAGCTGGTAGTGCGTGGGCGGTTGGTTTGGATCAGGGCTCCACAAGATACGCTGCAGGTCGACGTCACGCTTGTAAATCCAGATCTGACGAAAAATCATGCGGACGTCGCTGCAGAAGGCAATTTGGTGTCGTCGTCAGCGTAGGAGCACTCTGGGGAGCGTGGTCTGCAGCCTAGGGCCCGCGAAGAGGACGCCGTTTAAGCTGTAGTCGCTCGATGTCGGTTTTGAGGCGTTGAATACGACGCAAAGCCTGTGGCCCTTATCGCTGCTCTGCCAGATGCCGTGATGTTGGATATAGTGCACTGATCGGGGCGATGCCGTGCGAATATCGTCAGGCAGTAGTCT